TCAGATGATTCGAATCCTAAGCCTATTACAGTACGGAATTTTAACGATAGAGTATGGCAATTTCATTTGTATTTGTGCGTGCTCTATGCTATTGATATACAGCGTATATGTGTTTTAATAATTCATTATTGGTTATAATGTCAAAGCGAAAATGATCCGGAAAACACATTTGCAGTACGTTTGACTGCGGATTATCCATTATTTCATAATGAAGTTCAAAAAATGAAAAATTCATTATTATACTTTTCTGATATGGTTCATTTTCCCACGGATACTCCAAATATATTTACTAATGAAATTTATACTACTTTAGATATATTGACAGATATAAAGGACAGAATTCCACTTGCACGAGGGGGAAAATGTAGAGAGAAAATAATCGAGGCACAAACACAAATTGATAATTTTTTTAATAACCATGTTATGCCTGTAAATTTTTTTGGTAGAAGTGATTTAGGAATTACAAACTGTATTTATTTGTATTATAATAATCAAATAAAACTAGAAGCACATGAAATTATTCGTTCAAATATTGAGAATCTTACTGTAACTAACAATAATTACGGTTTTCAGTATGATCCAGAGAGTCTTGTTGTCATTCTAGACACAACAGATTCGGATTCAGTTGGAAGCTCGACATCATGAATGGTAACACTTTTATCAATATTTTAATTAAAAGTAAAATGTAATATGATTTTGGCATTGTTAAAATTTGATTTATTAATAATTATAATGTAATTATCTATTATATTTGAAAATAAAATATTTAACTATTAAATTGAATTTTATTTTTTAATTTAAAAATTATTTAATTGGCATATACCACTAAAAAATAAGTTAATTTGATGAAACTAAAATAAAATTTTTCACAAAAATCGTACGTTTTTCTTTAACTTCGAAATCCGTTTTCAGCATGAAGAGAAGTCTAGTGATCAATTTAAAATTTATATAAAAGTGTTAGTATTTACGGAACAATTTCAAAAATTAAGTTGAAAAAGTTCTACTTTCTATACGCATATTAAAAAAGTATACCCCTCTGTATAAAAGGAAATGGTCAGATTTCAAAAATCGAATTTTAAAAATAAGATATATTACTGGAAATATTATTCAATAGATAATATAAAAGTAGCATAGACGTATAATTATAAAATAATAGTAAATATTTTAATTGCGCTAAGTAGAAGAAGAAGTTTTCGTAATTTTGTCTCATATAATAAATATATATATTAAAAAGTTTTTAAGTATAAATTAATATTTTTAGTGATTACTTTATTTGCTACATCATATATAAAAAAAATATTCGTCTTAGAACGGTACTGAATATAATAAAAAAGTTCTAAATGTAAAATAACTATCATTATTACTGAAAGTATTCACTAGAAAATTAATTTTTTACTTTGTATTTATGGTTCTGTTTAGTTTAAAGTATACTTATACTCCACTCTCGATGTATTAAAACGCTTGTATCTCTATGAGTATTTGTCCTAAAATTATTATCGACCTACAAAAATGTTTTTAAGAAAAATACTAATGTTTAGTATACGATTATCGTTTGTGATAATGGTGGGATCAGTTTAGTTGCTCGTTATACGCTGCGCCGGTAACATTGCTGGACCGATTCGCGACGTAATAATTGTTACTATAAATAATTTTTCATTATAATAAATTAAAATCTAGAAATACAGTCCACTCTTTTACAAAAAAAGTCCTGTAAATATAGAATATATAATTCCAATTCTTATTCTTAAACCAGATTTTCAAAATCATCACTTTTACAATTAATTCTAATTAATAGGCTATTTTGAAATGACTTGACTATGAAGTAGTTTTTTAGTCTTCCCCCCCCCTATTTCCACTAGTGTATAAAGTTAACTTATGGGTTTAAACTATTTCTAAAAGCTAAAAAATTGCATGGTTTTGTTATTATGCCAAGAGGGAATAAGATATGTTTCTTATGTATTACCCACTCCAAGTTAAATTCTATACGTTACTGTGTACACTCTTTTAATCTTATAATATTAAAAGATTTTGTTAAACAAACAATATTATTAAGTTTTTACGTACCTTAATTATAATTGGTATTACACATATAATTACACAGCATTTTTATTATCAATGGTTGTTTGGTACATTGTTGTGAGTTTATAAATACACTAACTGACAATACAGAAAGTAAGGGATGAACTTAAAAAGTATTAAATAGTTAATAATTCAAGAATAATGCGTAACTAAAGTTAATAAAAAAAAAATGTTTAAATTATATTATTCTGTAAGTAATTGAGTGGATTATGATAAAAAAATCATCCTGTATATTTAGTAGAGATGATTAAAAAATAAAATACTGTACAGAAAAAATAAAATACCTTAGTAATGTTAAATGATTTATGGAAATCGGAGAACTTAAGTGTTTAATTTTACTAAAGTTCAAAACAAGAGTTTTAACCTTCCCGAAATTTACTACATATCTCTCATTTGGGTAATTCCATATCAAATCATCCAAAGTCGTTGCGCGACCACTTTATTTTTTTTTTTAATTTTATACACAAGTTTTCTAGTATATAAGAAGAAAAAATTAAAGAAGTTTTATGAAAATTTATTTATGACTTATCAAAAGTCTTAAATTATGAAATACTTGTAATTCGTAAAAATATCCTTATGATAACAGTATTTATATTTAAGATTTGAAACTTTCATCGTTTTTTTTTATGCGATTCTCTAACATATCCCATAATTATCAACACGTGTTTTAACTTTTAAGTTGGAAAATTTTGTTTTCTAAATTGAGCTTTTTTTACAAAATAATGTAATTTTCAAAGATCAAATTGACTATGAAAAAACATTTTTTTTTAATTAATTTTTTTTCCTAAATATTATCGTACACTCACAGTAATATTTATTTGTGTTTTGAAACATTTTACTCTTACCGTTTTTTATTGGAACATATTTAAAAATGCTCGAATTTCTAAAAAATCAATTTTTAAGCTTTTTTATTTTAATATTTCTCTGGTGGAACAAAATATTTTAATATCATTTTTTCACACAATATAGTACTATGTATGTAGTTTCTATGAAAAAAATTTTAAGTTTGATATTTGACCGCAACTTACGAAAAATTAAATTTCAAAATTACGTTATTTTTTTTTAAGTTTATGAAAAATCTTGGTTTTTTGAATACTGAAAACTTTCTGTATTTCCATTACTTAGTTTTTGTGTCTATATAGGTATATATATATATAAATAAATTCCTCAATATATTGAGTACATGAAAAATGTATTAATGATCAATTAAAAAAATAAATAAATTATAGATGTATTTATATTTATAATTAATAAAAATAAAAATACAATATTATATGAAAAGAATGAAAAAAAATATATTAAATCGTTGTGATTATCACTTAGAACATTTAATGTCTTGAAATATGGTTGAATTTGATATTTTAAAACATCTAATCAAATTTTTTTGTAGTGGTACTCGGTGTACGGTGTACGGTGTATTTGTCTTTTGCCGGGTATTGTTTTCGCTTGTACAAATCTATTTTCTAATAATTTTTTATTTTCTTGTACTTCACTTGATGGAACAAAAAAAATGTTTATTCCTTTTATGTTTTCTTCACAATAATCATACATAGCTTTTGGAGTTAAAATATGATTTTTATTAACACATTGTAAACTATATTTGGTGACTAGCCTTTTTGTAGTACCACCTACACCATCGCTAGCATTTTTTCCGTGGCACGAAACAAAAAAATTCCATTCAGCTCCAATATCAAAATCTTCATCGTGATAAAAATATTAATAAATTTTTTTTTTTTTTTGTATTGACTAGCCGCACCATCGCTAAAGTATAGAATTTTTTTTACAAAAGGGCATGTGCTGATTAAATCTTTAATAAAATATTTTTGAAACGAGTAAAATGTTTCTTTTGAACCAATTAGTTAATACAGTTAACGCATACCCCTCCAAAAAAAAAAACGATAAAATTAAATTTTAAATTATATTGTGTTTATAGACTGGCGATAAATGAAAATATTGACAGCAAACTCATTATGAAGAAAAAAAAGAAATATAAATTGGTGAATATGTATTTAAATATCGATAATATAAATAAAAGACTACTCCAATGGTCTCAATCAATATATCCACAATGAAAAAAAAACAGCCGACTTGAATATTTTATCTTCGATGCGAAGCTGAGAAGGTATTGGTTTTACTAAGATATGTTTTTTTTTTTTTTTGTGTCTGTTACCACTTTTTCTCAGCTCTTACCGAACCGATTTCTTTCAATGATACGTCAAAAGATCACAAATCGTATCTAGTCGAAGACATTACCCTCAAAAATTGAAAACAATTCCCTTGTTCCCCGTAAATGGGGGAAACATCCGAAAAAATTACAAATTTAAAAATCGCTAATTTTCGAAATTTTTTCAATTTTTTTTACTAAAAACTGCCGTAACGTTTTTAAAAATAAACATATCAATATAATTCTTTTTTTTATAGATGCATGATGTCATTACCTATCATTTGGTATATATTTTTTTTTTATATCTGACCCTTTACCTGCCCATAGGGGGGGATTCAAAATGACAACTTTTTCACAAAAAATTAACTTTTTCAACTTAAATTTTGAAAGTGTTCCGGAAAGTCTGACATTTTTATATATATATTAAATTAAAGCTAATGTAACCTACTTTGTTATGTAAAAAAAAAATTTCGGACTTTATTTCGTCTTCACGGTGAAAATGGCTACCAAATGCTATTTTTGTGTGAAATTTCTCTATTTTATTTTTTACATTTTTAACTTTATAATGCTATAACTTATTGAAAAGTGTATGGTTCAACACAATTTTTTTATGAGAAATAATATTTTTTAATATTCCTTTTTTAATTCAGGATATTAATGAGAAAATAGCAGATCATGTAGCTTTTGGAATAATCCACTAATTTTTTTAAAATTAAACACTATCTAAAGATTTGCATCGAAGCGTTTTTTTTTTATAGTGATTTTTATCACTTTCAGATGTCATTATACTTGATCCAACTATGCCACGTCACCACTGTGCTGCGTCCCCCCTGTGCTGGGTTTTTTGTTAACTATTTTTGTATGATTTCTTATTTACTTTTTTGTCAATCAAATAAAAAATTGCGTTTTCAACTGAATAAGCTTATAAGTTAAGATTTTTAATTATTTAATTTACTTTTTGATTAATTTTACATGTAGGTCGATTAAATTCAATTCAAGGATTAGTTAATACTGGAGCGTCATTTATTCTGGTTTCGTTATACAGCACAGTGTACAACTTTACGTTTGAATATATAATCGGAGCAGTATTTTTGATGAACGTTATACTTACATTACCACTTTTATTCATATTTCTGTAATTATAAATATTTTAGTAAATAATTTTTAAGGTACTATTAAAAATGGGAGATAGTCAGTCAAAATCAACTAATCGGTAAATTTTCAAGATAGGTTCAATATTTTTTTTTTCGATTGTTTTCAAGAATTACCTAAAAATTACAAATATTTTAAATACCATTTTCTATTAAAATAATTTACAATTAGGGGTAAAGCATAGCATACATACAAATAATTAAAATTATTTGCCTGAACATTATTGCTTGGATTTTTTGACTATATCATTAAATAAAATTTGCAGTTTATTATTTTCGTTTAAAGTAGTTAACGATTCAATTTATTATTTTTTAATACAGAATTTTTCTTAACTTGTAACGTAAATTACTAATGATTGAAATTAATAGAGATTATTTTAATTTATTAAACATTTTTTTTAATTGTATCTAATTGATTTTTCGTATAACTTGGTTTCTATATGATATTGTATATTAATTCTGCAATTTTTTAATTAATTTCCAGGACACTATTTTATAAATGCAAGCACATATGGTCAGAAGAGAAAAATATTGCTTATACATAATTTGAAATACATTTATTTTGAATTCGATCATGAGATAATTTATAATTTTATGTTATTTTTTTTTATTAAATTTAATATATATAAAGATGTTAAATTATTTTCAGTTGTTAAGTATTTTATTATTTGAATATACTACTTTATTTCTTGCTTAAATAAAAGTAAAAAATACATATATTTTAATGTTAATGTGTTAAATTTCATTGGTGGAATTTGTATCAATGATGAGGAGGAGTGAAATCTTGTGTTTTTTTTTATACAAAACTGATTGATCCTTTAGCTTGTATGAGAAGTTTATTGGGAAATATTTGATGTTATAATTACTATTGGGTAATACAGTTATTATTATGGCTGTATTTTCATTTTTATGGTCATAGAAAACGTTATTTGAAAAATATAACGTTCTAGACGTAATAATGATAATAATAATGATGTTCCATCATTATTTTATTTATTTTTCACAATATGAAAAATTCATCCCGATAGTGAAGATGAAAGTATTTTTTTTTTTTTAATTATAGGTACTATCCATTTTTTATAATACTGTAATAATTAGTATACTTTATACGAAAACAATTTGTTTTTAACCAACCAATGGTAAAATTTTAAACTTGTAAGATTCATAGTATGGGGATACTGTCTAAGGAGGAATGGAGGGAGCCACCCACAAGCTTTTCATGGGAAACAAATTATGGAAAATGATACAAGGACCCAAAATTGTTGGTCCCTCCAATAAACATTTTCTGGCTACGTGCCTGAGTGGTTATACAAAATATCTAGAATTTATTTATCAGTATGGACATCGTACTGACAGTTATGGTGACAGTAAACGGTAAACATTATCATCCCAGACATATGACAGTATATTATAGCCTCTCTTGCATTAAAACTGTCACTACAGGTGTAGTACTAAAATTAATTCTTTTCATTAAATAAAAAAACTAATATTTATTATAAGATGTTTATAGTTCTAACGTATAACAAATATTAAAAAAAAAAAAATAACACAAAATATTGACTGAATTAAAAGTTACAAAGATGTTAAAACATGGTATATATTAGAGGCTAAATTTATTTAACCCTCCCATAATATTAGTTTTATGTAAAAATAAATTTGATTTTCTAAATTTTTATGAGGCTGATTTTTGAACTGGGGGAGGGGCGAAACTTCTCGTTAGGAATGAAATATTTTCACTTTGAATACCAAAGGGATATAAATCGATTCACGACTTGTACATCGTAGACTAGATTGGGAACATCAAGATTATCCATTCTACATAGAACCTATCTGCAAATCCGTTTTGAATTCTCATTGAATTCCCAGGTTTTATTATTTTCAGTGAAAAAATAATATTTACAGTGGTATCCAAACGGATAGGCTTAAATCAAACTTTATATAAGGTTAATAATAACTAATTATATTTAACGACAGTCAATTAGTACTATAAAACTGAACATTATAAATAACGTTCACATACAAATTTTGCTAATTATACCAAGTTATTTTTCTACAAAGTGAATGTATTTAATGCAACTGTAGTTTTAAATTGTCCGTTTTCACCAATTTTATTATTATAACTATTCTAAAATATATATGTAATTGTAATAATATAAAAATTTAGATAAAAATATGAGGTATATGTATTGAGTATATTGACCAAGTTTATGTATGTTTGGGGATTTGGTCAATTGGCGAGCAACTAGGTTGTGTCGGGGTTGTAGAATCCGAGGGTTTAGAACAATAAAGACAGGTAGGTATAAAAAGTAATAATTAAGGTTCCTCTTATAGAGATATTATAAATGACCCAACTGGTAAGTTCCTGTAATAATACACTGAGGCAATGATGAGGCGGTGGCCATCTCACGAATACCATGTAATGTGATTATGTACAAGGTACGAACTAGTTAATAATAATTAATCGAAGTTTAAAGATTAATATAATTATTTGATCTCTTGCTTTATCGTTCTGTACTTAGATTATTAATTCTAAATAATTGAGTTATAAGATAATATAAGTATTGACTCTTATTGATTTGAAGTCTTACCTGATGATTTTTCTTTGTTCTTATAATAACTTTTAACAGTATCAAGTAATAACAAAATAATACGAACTCAAATGTTTAGTTCATAAATTAACACGTGAGAATTTCGACAATGATGATAACGAACTTTACGTATCGATGTCGAGAGCGCGATTCGAATAACTCAATGAATATCTGGAAACAGATTCTCTCAAGCAATCAGTCCTGATTGAGAAGGATTACTCTGCCTTTTATAGTATTTTTTATCCCCGAATAATGATCATCGTGTCATTTTTGTAATGTTATCGTTTATTGTTAAGTAAGCATAAAATATGAAATATACAGGGTGTTCAGTAAGTCAGGAAACGGGTTTCTATTGTTCTCATTGTTACAGACAATGAGAACAATAGAAACCCGTTTCCTGACTTACTGAACACCCTGTATAAATTAATACACATGGATAATATACAAATCATTTTTATACAACGTTAATATAGTTTGTTTTTACATTCTAGACTAGGGTTAATACATTGTGTTTATTTATTAGGATAAGAGTAAAAAGAGCTGACAAGCATGATTTATAAATGTCCTAAAGAGTGATTTTTAAAGGTGACTAATAATTGACTCATGACTGAATCGTGTGTAATTTAATATAATTAAATGACAATGTGCGTTTGTTAAATATTTCTCTAAGTTATTTATTTAAAAACAATCATGTTATTTTAAGCATATGAATATAATTTATAAATAAATGTGTTAATAGTGTTAATTGAAAAACCATTATTATGGANATGTGTTAATAGTGTTAATTGAAAAACCATTATTATGGACACAAACTTGTGTCCGTAATAATATCACAAACTTTTAATTATAATATGTTGTTAATATCATTGTGGTACTCAACTATAACTTTTATAGTTTTTTTCATTATATCCAAAACTCTATTTTCTTTTAATTGAAACATGTTAATTTTAACTGAAGTTAAATCGGGAACGTTAAATATTTTTTGATAACATTTTCGTAAGAATATTAATTTACACGAGGTTAAGTAAATTAAAACATACTTGTGCGTTCATATAATATGTACTATAGTACTATGTCTTATATGATATTGTGTATTTTCAATATTAATAATGTGCATATATTTGTTCAAGGTCTTTAAAGATTGGAGGAGGATTGAGTATAACTGTTTTAGCGGAAATCAATAATTTTGTAAAATATTTATACTTCAATGTACCAAATGGTTATATAATACTTTTTGGTTTTTGATCATACCAAAAATTATTTTAAAATGCAAATGTCATTGATTTTATAATTTTGTGTTCACATATATATTTATTCAATATATTAATATTTTAGTAACATTATATGTATTATATATACAATAGTTTATCTTATGTAATGTGGATTATCTTATGAATCATTTTGAATAATTAATTTTTAACATGAACTTATTTCAACTAAAGGTTATTGCAATTTTCGTCTTGACTTTATTAGAACAACAATATTGTATGGAAAGAATGGCTCTTATGCCAAATCTCCCAGTTGTAAGTTATGAGTTTTCTTATTAAATAATAAATTGTTATAATTAATTATAATTGATTTAGGATATTTGTTTAAAAATACCTTGGATTAATAATAAATATTTATCACATTAATATATTTTTTATTTAAGAATTGGATAAAAATTCAAATTATAATACAAAAAATCTACTAGGTAACTTTAAATAAACTTAAAACAATGTATTTAATAAAATTTATTTAAAATATATAAATTAATATTTATAATAAAATGTATATAAATATAAAGTTTTCTTTAAATTTAAAGTTTAATATTAACATGGCCGTTTGGTCGAAAATTGGAGGATGGATAGCTAATGCATTCACTTACAAAAGTAAAGGTGCATGTTCAAGTATGAAATTTTTATTAGGAAATATATGGAATGAGTTTGTATCAAAGCACAAATTTACCGATTGTCCCTTTAAACCAGTAAGAATAAGTCACAAATTATTATTATAAAATAATTTATTTAAAAATTATTAATTTTAGGGTGTCTATAAAGTGGATGGGTTTGATCTATTACGCGCAGCCCACACAAATATTCCGAAACAATTTTTCTATGGTTCTTATAAAACAACAAC